GACCAAGGGAAGTAGAGAAACTTTCCCTGGCCACACAATCCAGATGGAGAACCCAGAGATTCTGATTCACTGACTGGTGCTTATTAGCCATGGTTTCTGTTCCATATCTCTTTTTGAGTTGGTAGAAGTAGTTCCTCTGAATCATACTAGCAAAGGGTATAAGCAGAGTTTATCCTTAACATATAAGACCCAAATCTTGCTGTGGTTTCCCTTGAAAACCTTTGGTGTTACTTTTGTGATGAAGTCTGAAATGTAGGAAGAACGACAAAATGGCAAGGGACCTCAGAGCAGCATATAGCATCTAGGTGCAGTGATTGCTCAGGGGACCTCTAAACATATGGAAATAGGTGGGAAATGAAGGAAAGCATAGCATGGATAAATACATGGAACCCATGGAAGGTTAGAGACATATCCCATTTCAGTTTTGCTGACCTGGTGGTATAATAGAATTCAGTCTGAAATAAGGCAGATCTAGAATCTATTCTAACCTCTGCAAGTCTCAAACCAATGGCTCAATTTCATCACTTATAAGATGGAAAGAATGGGGAAAAAGTTGGTAATAATAACCAGCTTGAATGATTCAGAATATTAAATGACATGAGATACTGTATATCTTACCACTGAATCCTCAGTTCCTTGGGTTTGGCACATAGTGGGAGCTCTCTATAAGTTAGCTGTGCCACTCTCTAAACTTCTTTCTTGGCCCAAAAGTAATGGAACTTCTTCTAATGTGATTTGTTATCCTGAGAATGTGTGGATAGTAAAAATGAATCAACTTATTATTATGGTATGCCTTATGGAAGAGATCATCCTAAATGAAAGGCAAATCTGGCATCCTGAATTATTATTAATAATTATAATTGTTAATATTATTGATAGTTCATTATTACCATAAATATTAATGGAGATGTCCAGGAGGTAAGGGACACTTAGCATGTGAGAAAGCAATGAAGCAGACACAGGGTCTGTTGTTGCAAAGGCCACCTCATTAAGGAAATAACCAAAATATAACCCCATACATCTTTGGCAATACCAAGTTCAAGAAACTTGGATTTCACTTAAAAGGATACTAGAATTGATTACCAAGAGAACCATAGTCAAATACTAAACTAAGGGGAAGCCATGTTACATAGGAAATGCATGCCAGTAGGTTGAAGCACAGAAGAGGCAAAATGATACCTCAAATTTAAATTCAGATCTATCTAGAATGGTTAATGATTAAGAAAATCAGCCTTTTTCCCCAGGCCACAAAGAATAGTCTAAGGGGACTTAACCAGAAAATGAAGAGCACAAAATGTTGGTTGAAAATAAAACTTCCTGGCAGGAAAGTTTATCAAAATGATGACTCTTTCCAAGAAGGTGATTCAACCAGCCCCCCAGGGAGAATATGAACCCAGGTTGCACAGAGGAATAGAAAGTACATCATGGTGAACAGTCTGCTCCCCAGTTCCCTGGGAGTGCACTGGCTGCACCAAGAAGTCTTTCCATCTTGATTCTCTGTAATATCGGCACAAATTGCTTTGACACGGGGTGGGCATGGGGGGATTCTGACCCCTTCTGGAGCTTATGAAGTTGCCAGTAGGTGACTAAATCAATGGAAAAGAGAAAAAACAAGGAGGCTCCCAAATCAGATTACTGTGTAAATATTAGAGATGCTTCAGAGGGCCCAGTGTATTTGGACTCTGGCTTCTGATTCAAAAAGCAAATTTGTTCTCCAAGTATCTGTGTTTATGGCCTTCAGCTTACTGTCCAGTTGGTGTTTTAAACAAATAACTTTCTAAACTTTATTTCATGACATCTTAGTCATATTGCAAGGTTATTCTCCACAGGCAATGAGTCAAAGGGAAGTAGCAAACGACATAACCATTTTTGCAGTCACCCTCCTTTGTCTAGAGCTTTCCTGTGATGAGAGAAATATTTAAGATGGTCACTCCATATTTATTTTCCCCTCAGTTGATGTTCCTGGAAGTCTATTTACACCTTGTCTACAACAAGCTACGATGCATATAAATATTGTAAAATGATCCTATTCTAGTAAGGAAAACCACTACTACAAATTATGAGCAGGAATAGGTCAGAGAAGTAAATAACCTATTGCCAATTATGTTGGATTCTTAACTAGAAATTCATTCCCCAAATTAAGACTCAATAAACCTGAATTAAATCAAACTGGTGTACTGCAGAAAGTGAATGAAGGCCGGGTACATAATCAGAAACTTAGCTTTCAAACACTTTATTATTTCTACTCTTCATTTTAGCCTGTGTGTGCATTTCAGCAAGATTGCTCCCAAGTTAATTTAGGTACAGCAATCCCATTTTCCTTTTATTTTATCCTATGTAACTGGGACAGAAGTCACAAGGGAAATGAATCTCAATCAGAAAAGTACTAGTGGGGGGCTCAGTTGGTTGAGCGTTTGGCTTCAGCTCAGGTCATGATCTCATAGTCTGTAAGTTCAAGCCCCACATTGGGCTCTGTGCTGACAGCTCAGAACCTGGAGCCTGCTTCAGATTCTGTGTCTCCCTCTCTCTCTTACCCTCCCCTGCTCATGCTCTGTCTCTATCTCAAAAATAAATAAATAAATTTTTAAAAAAAGAAAAAAAGTACTAGTGGGGCATCTGGGTGGCTCAGTTAAGCGTCCGACATCAGCTCAGGTCATGTCCTCATGGTGAGTTTGAGCCCCACGTTGGGTTCTGTGCTGACAGCTCAGAGCCTGGAGCCTGCTTCGGATTCTGTGTCTACCTCTCTCTCTGCCCCTCCCCATCCATACTCTGTCTCTCTCTCAAAAATAAATATTTTAAAAATTTTAACAAAAGGAAAGAAAAATACTGGTATAGTCAAAATGGCTGGCCCTGTTGCAAATTGAGTGCTGTAATCCCCAAATAAGAATGTCTAGTGTCTTTAAAGTTCTTTACATTGTCCGAAGTATATTTACATGCAATCATCTCCTCTTTTTACATAAAGAAGAAGCTAACTTTCAGGGAAGTTAACTGAAGTGACCAATGAGATAAAAGTTTGGATTAGATCTGGTCATAGAACAGTTGACCCAAATGCTCAATATACTCCAGCTCGTGTCCGTGGCAGCCCACATAGAGATGACTCTCTTTCTTGTCATCCTTCTGCAGCCAACCTTTCTGCCACTGGTGTTTTAATCCCATTTTGCTACTCCAGATAATGGGTATTTCTGATCCCTTTTAGACAAAATTTCAGATCCCTGGTGAGTAAATTACCAAAACGGAATGCAGTATAGATAACTCTAGGACCAGTGACTACTCACCCCATCAGTTTATTTGACTGCTCTTAATGGTTGAATCTTTGCTCCTCAGTTACTACTCAGACTCAGTTGTCAGGCACATCTATATGCAAATCAACATTTAGCCACTCATTTTTGGAAAATGTACTGAACTCTTATAAAATGGGCATTATAATAACCACTGTTAATGGTTGTTTTGAGGATTAAATGAATACTAATGCACCTAGATCCATATCACTGAAATAAATGTTTTCCTTTTTCACTCACTCCCCATTTTCCCCACCCTAGATCTCCATGCCTCAAATTAACACAAATTGGATCTTCTCACAGTGCTCTGCCTTACTTCTATAGCCAACAACTTACTGTAAATTGAGGCCCCAACCTCAATTTACTTAGAAATAAATTAATGCCAAAACCCAACATATATATAAATTGCTCTGTCACAATGATCTTACCCTTAAAAGACACAATATTTATTTTATCATTTTATTGTTGTATCTCACAAAGAGGGGCAAAGGCAAATTTTAAAAAAAGATACAGAGTAATAGCTGTAATGCAGACACTTGTGTAATTACACCTGAGCCAAGAAATAGAACACAGCTATCAACACAGATGTTCTTGTGAGGGTACTTTTCCTACAGACAGTCACACACATACGTAGAAATAATGATATAGTGGAAAAGACATGAATTATAAGATTACACAGACCTGGGATTAATTGTATTTCCCTTACTTATAAACTATGGGATTTTTAGCCAAGTCACTTAATCTCTTTGGCCCTCAGCACTCACTTTTGTAAAACGGGAATGATAAAGCCTGCTTTTCAGTATTGCTGTGAGATTAATATAAATACATAAGCATATATATTATATGTGGGGGCATCTATAGTTCAGTGACAGTAGCTATTACCATTAGTAATTATATTTCAAAGCCATCACGATGTATACTGGCTTCAACACATGATAACTTCACTCATTTTAGTAATTTAAATTATAAACTTTTGCCTTGGCTAAAAAATTTGTCTTTGGAATAATTACGTATCTAAGGAATAATGATTTCTTAAGCAAATGGATATGTTATATTAGAATATAGAACATTTATTTAAATAACCTTTAAGCATTGTTTGTATACACTGCAAATTCAAAAGTTTCATTAAAATATACCCAGCAGACTTTCCAATTTGATTGCACATTGTTGTTTACTAAAATATTATAGGAATGATATTTTACTGAAACATTCTAAGTTGAGACTTTTAATTAACTGCCCATAATAGACTATCTCCAATTAATTGGATTTAGTGCTTTGATGGAGTATTACTACATTTCTATTAATAGCCTTTTGTATCAACACAGTTTTACAAATATGATTAAACTGAATTATTAAACAATCCCCTTATAGAATAAATTTCACACCAGGCTATTCTAGCATGTAATTCTTGGGAAAACCTACACATAAGCTGATAAGGGAGTGGTCCCAAATTTTCTAGAATTCTCAGGAAGTACATCCGTCTGTTTAAATTACTTTTCCACCTGTGTTTCTTTCATGATGGCAAGATTAGGAAAGAGCTTTTGGGAATATATTTAGATAATTAGTATTCAACCCTTTATGTTTAGTTTTGTCTTATGCCCTACACCTGAGAATACATGCATGGACAATTATTTTATCTTCCCACAACAGTAAATACATGTTCTTGTTACATCTTGGGTTTGAGTCTCATCTCTGAAACTCTTCCTATTTGATATTGATATCTTTATATGTTTTAGATTTGGTTGTGTCATTCTTAAAATTGAAATAATAATACCAGCTGTACCTATAGCATAGATGTATATTAAGTATTAACTGACAATGTAAAGTACACTCTTTTAAAACCATAAATTCATATACTCATGGAAATTATGACTGCTATTTTCTCATCTGGACAGAGTTTAGTTAACTCAATTTTTATGAGTTGTGATAGTCTTGAGATGGATTATTTTACAGATCCTTCTTCACTGTTTACCTTACTTTGTGGATGTCTTTAGAATGTAAAAGGAAAAGGCATGTTTATGGCTACATACTTTGTGGATTAACACTTCCAAGAAGAATCTCAGCCTTCATCATTTTGTTAGGTCTATCAAGCGGGATCTCACCACTCAGGAATGCACTAGTTATGATTCAAAAACTTTCACAATTCACTTTTGCATTAAAATGGATAATACTCATTACTTTGACTAAGACTTGTAATTAAGATTATTCTTTAAATCATCTGACTAAAGATAACGTGTGGATACAGCAACAAGCATATTAAGCTCATGTAGATCCATCAAGGAAGTTGCTGTAACATGGTTTCCTCTTCCTGAAAGGTTCTTACCTTTCTCTTCCTGTTGAAATCTGACACATAATTTAGAACCCAACTTAGCTGTTACCTTTTCTATGATAATTCCCCAAAGAGAATCAATGTATGGCCTTTCCTCATCCCTAAAATCTACCTCTCCTCTAGTGCATGTCTGCTGCCTCTCCCAACCATTGGCTCCTGGCATCCTTCAGGTCAGGAAACTAGCCTCACTCATTGTTATATCCTTTGAGTTATCATAATGTTTTTCATGTTTGTCATTGTGGTGGTATATGAATTTCCCCCAATTATCTGATATCATTTTCTTTCTCATATTTTTCACTTGGGCATATGAGTACCCAGAATAATGACTATGTTTCCAAAGCTAGGTGTGGCCTTGTGACTAGGTCCATCTAGGTCATGATTTAAGAGCAGAAATGACATCAGAAAATTCTGGGTTGTGCCTCTTAAAAGGGAATGACCTTCTCTTTAACTTCTTTTCCCTTTCTTATGAGTCATCTTGAAACATGCAGATGAGGGCAACATTCTAGAGAGCATAAAACAACATGATATAAGAAGACTGTGCCTTCACACCATGGAGCTACCATCCTAATTCTAGTATTCTTATACTCAGGTGGTTAGTAGAGAGAAAAACAAAACTTCCACTATGTTTAAGCTTCTATTGTTTTGAGTTTCTGTCATGGCAGTCAAACTTATACCCTAATAAATACACTTCCATACTGGGGATGCAAATAATTCAGGTTGGACAGAATATATGTTTTCTAACACCCCTTTGGGTATTATTTGCTGGTATTTGTTCTTTTAGCTATACAGATCATCTAAGCTCTGGATTACAAATACATTTAGGTTATCTGTTAATAGTGATGACATTTTTTCAGGTATTTAACAGCAGTCTCTTCTCTTCAGGAATAGGATTCCAAAAAGAGATTGTAGAAAGAGCATCACTTTCTTGCTGATATAACGTTGACTATGGGTCTAAATCTAGACTGTATTAGAGATTGTTTTGTTCATTTTCTTTGTCTTTCCATTTTCTGGGAGGCTTCTATATTTGGGATTGCTTTATGTATTATTTATTCTTTTAGTCTCAACAATGAATATTGTTTTCTTTAGGAAAGCCTTCCCTGAACTTAAAGACTTGTTAAAAATTAATATAGTACTATATTTATTATTACTGAAATTACTGCAATTATATAACACTTTGTATAAATTTTAATTTGATGCCTGATCCCCCAACTAGACTAAGTTCCACGAGGGCAAAGACAATGTCTATAAAGTTAACTGATGTATCCTAAGGGCCTGTAATATTCTATGTATTCAATAATTATTTGTAGGAAGAAAGGAAGGAAGTAAAAAAAGAGAGAAAGAGGAAAGCTACCTAGCCATGAAAAGGAGAAGAACTAGAAGCCATTTGGGGGATCTGATTATTTGAAATACCCATACAATGAGGGAAAGTATGTTTCTAGAGGGGAGGGGTTTGGGTCATTAAGATTAATTTCCTCAGTTCTCTTCATTCTGTGTGGGTAATTATAAAAGAAAAGAAATTAGACTGTCCTTTTTATTATTATTATTATTTTCTTCCATATTCTAAACAAGTCAAAGCTTAAAAACTTTGCCTATTTGCAAATCAGCAATTACCTCCAAAAAATTATCTATAGCATGTTGGGATTTATGTCCAGGGTCTTCCCCTTTTTATTTCTTGAACAAGAATTTGCCAAGAGGGACTTGATCAGGCCCACCTCTGGTGCTGCCTGCCTGACTGAATTTCCTGGTTCTCTAGGTGGTGTTGGAAATGTCACTTGAAGGAGTGCTGCCAAGCTAGGAAATGACTGCTTATGACTCCACATGCAGATAGGGACAGGTGTCTTCATCTGGCTGCTGGCAGTTTCTATGCCATGAGAAGTTTCTGTAAAAAAAGAATGATAAAGTCGCTTTTGAAATAGGGATTTTAAATTTCGAGTACATCTCAAATCAAAAATATTTGACAGAGTTGACCCTCCTGCACACTGATACACTTTGTTCACTTGGCTTCCAGAATACCACATTCTGCTGGCTTTCTTCTACCTCCTGACCATTTCCTCTCGGTCTCTTTTACTCATTAGGGTGCCTCATAACTCATTTCCAGGATCTCTTTTCTTTCCTACTTGCACTTCCTAGAAGAATTTATTTGTATTCACAGTTCTGATCATGATGTCTGCTGATGAGTTCCAATTTTGTATCCCTAGCTATACTGCAGACCCATGCACCCAACCATTTCATTTCATTTGGCTGTCCACAGTCACCACAAATTCACCATAACAAAAAATGAACTTCTGTCCCACCTCCAAACTTGCATAATCTCAGTTTATTGAAACCCAAACTTTGAGTTGTGGAAGGAAAAAGAAAAACGTGACATTAAGATAAAGCTTTGAGTCTTCTCTCTTACATTTTACTGCAGAGCCAGCAGGACATCTTGTGTACTCTACCTCAAGATATATCCATACTTTGGCCATTTTTCATATGACCTACAGCATATTTTGCCTGCATTATTAAATAACTTCCTATGTGGTCTCCCTGATTTTACAAAATGTTTTGTCCTTATCACCAAATCTTCAAATAACAACCCGGTGATTCTTTCAAAATATAAGTCAGATAATGTCATCTGTCTCTCCACTGTAGTGGTTCCCCATTCCATACCATGTTACAGCCAATGTCCTTTTCTCCACAGCTTTGTGTTATCTGCCCCCATGACCTGCCCAACCTCATCTCCTTTTCTCCTTGTTGCTCACTCTGCTTCAGCCATGCTAGCCTGTTCCCTGGTGTTCAAATGCACTGGGCAGCCTCTCATACCGGGGCCTTTACACTGGCATTCCCTCTGCCTGGAATGTTCTTTCTCCAGACGTCCACATGGCTAACTCTCTTACCACCTTTGGGCCCTACTAAAATATCATTTCCTCTGAGATCTATCCTGCACCACCCTACTACAACCTAACCCCTCCAATTGTGTTGGGTTTTCTTTAACCATATTCATTTCATCTTCTAATATTTTCTCTAATTTATGTATTTTTGTGCCAATTCTGTGTTGTGCATCATTCCTATGATAATATAAGTTTCATTAATGCAGGAATTTTTATTGTTTTATTTAATGACTGGAACTTTTTCTGACACACAGTAGGGGGTTAATAAATATTTATTACACAGATAACAATTTGGTAGGAACAGGCCAAGTTTGCCTGCTATGACCACTACTGTTCAGTATGATATCAGCTGACCAAGTTGGTGAAAGAGAAAGAGGAAAAGAAATGAGTTATAAATAACAGAAAGGGAGAGCCAAGACTGACTACATGCATATATGATTATCTACCTATAAAACAAGGAAGTCGCCTAAGAGATCTATAAGAATGAATGAGAGAATTCAGTAAAAAGGATACATTAATGTTCAATATGTATTTTTTATTAATAATTTTTCTATGTGCCAAAAGTAACCAAATTTTAAAAATAAAGTCATGGACAGAAAGATATCATATTTGCAATATCAAAAAAAATAGAATAAAATGTATAGGAACACACCTAATATAAGAAGCTCGAGGCTAACAATAAGAAAACTGTCAAATAAAATATCAAATAAATTAAATAGCATACCAATATCATGAACAGGAAGATGTATTATTATAGACAGAAATATTTCCCAAAGTAATTGATGATTTTAGTGTATTTGCATCAAAATACTAAAAGGAATTTTATAACTTTAACAACTTATTTCAGTTCAAATGGAAGAAAAATCTTTAAGTATATTCAATACACTTCTACCAATGGTTAAGACAGGGAGAGAAATTGTATTATTAGTACAGGATAGACTGATCCATGATATTTCAAATTTCTTAGCAAAAGATTGACTATTAAATCATGTGCAGATAATTTGCTTTTTATTTGGAAAATAATAAAGTCAAACTATAATTCAGACATATATCAAGTTCAATTTGCAATGGATCAAAGAGCTATAACCAAACTACATAAATATTGTGAGAAATAATAAGAGAATATATTATAATTTTATAGTAGAGAAGGGCTTCCTTAAGAAAGATACAAAATCCAAAAACATCTAAGAAATACATTACCCCCTTTGCCCTCATAAAAATGAACAAAAATAATTTTTAAAAATAGGTTAGCATAGACATCATTAACATTCTGGATAAATATCCAGGATGCATAAAGAGCTCTTTCAAATCAGTAGAAAAACAGACAAGCCTCCCAGAAGGCAAAATATATGAAAATATAGTTTACAGAAAAAAAAAGAGAAATAAATATGGAAAAGCTTAATCTCACTGATAGGGAAACCTCAACTGAAAGAGAGCTTTTTTACACATCTAATGCATAAAAAAGTTTAAAATACTGGCAAAATTGGGGCACCTGGTTGGCTCAGTCAGCTAAGCATCTGACTTCGACTGAGATCATGATCTCGCAGTCAATGAGTTTCATCCCAGCATTGGGCTCTGTGCTGACAGCTCAGAGCCTGGAGCCTGTCTCAGATTCTGTCTCCTCTCTCTGCCCCATCCCTGCTTGCACTCTGTCCCTCTCACTCTCTCTCAAAAATAAACATTAAAAATATTTTAAAAATAACATTAAATATTGCCAAAATGAAGTATCAAACAAATATATACAGAAATGGAAATATATCATACACTCTGGGTAATAGGTGAAAACGTTTGAAGCCACTTATTTAATGACTCCAATCCCCTGCCACTCTCTCTTAAATATCACCTATAAACCCAGAAGTCTCAAAAGCTTGTTTTTTTTTTGTTTGTTTGTTGTGTTGTGTTGTGTTTTGCTTTTATTTCTTTCTAAATAAGGAAAAAATTAGGAGGGAATATAACAAACACTCTCTCCTCTTTTTGATGTAGATGTTATTCTCTCTCCTTGATTCCAATTACTCTTATCAACTCAACCATTTATTGACCACTTAGGGCCTCCCAGTTATAAATGCCATAGCAAAAAAACAAAAACAAATTTTATATATACGTACACGTACACACAGTGAATCAGAGTCCATGGGCTATACAACCTATTGGATGAAGAAGAGCCTCTATAAGTATCTCTTATTCAAGATAGATTGTTAAGTCCTCTGATAAAGGCACAATACCAATTGCTATGGTACCACTGGGGAGGAAGAGATTAATTGCTTCCATTACCACATTTTAAAAATCAATTTATCAGGATCCCAGCTTTGCAATTAAAGGAAATTTTCCAAGGCACTTAGAACAAAGTATCTTTATGTAATTTTCTTTCACTAATCTCCTCCAGGTCCTTCCACTCAGTTACAAGTGATGGGATTTTTTTTTTCTTTTTTCTTTATTCCTTTTCTTTTCTCTCCACTCCCCACCCCTCTCTCTGGTCACAGTATGACTCAGAATGAAAGACTAACTTTGGATACAGTGTTGATGCCTTAAATGGCTTCACTATTGCCATTTATAATCTCAGAAATATCATATAATAAAGGTCATTCATTCTACCAGCATGGCAAAAAGTTTTGGAGAAAATTATGCACATAGGAAATTTGTGAATTCCTTACACTCTAAAATTGTGAAAGATTTCTACCGGTTATCTCTTTGGGAGATAATGTTCTGAATATTTCTTGTTTCTTATTTGTTGAAAATTATGTAATTTTTCCAACTTTATAACATAACATTTAGAAACTAAATTGAGAACAAGAAGCTAAATTTTGCTACCAATTTACAAATGAAATTTCTCAATTTTTATTTACTTATTCTTTCAACTAATATTTGTCAAATACCTATTAAGTTCAAAGAACTCTTATACATGTCAGGAGACAGAGGTGAACAAAATATGCTAAGTCCCTAAACTCACTGGATTTGTTTCCTCATAGAAGAAACCAACAATAAATAAACATAAACACAGCACAATTTCATATAGCAATAGGTGTTAAAAGTGGCAAGAGAGGGATGGATTCAGGGGATAGCAAGTGATAGGAGAAAAGGCTAAGATCTACTGGTAAAGAAAAAATAAGTGATGTTTGAGTAAAGTTAACAAATGAGAACACATTCTATGTGGATATGATGAAACACCATTCTAAGCAGAGAGACTCACAAGTGCAAAGACCCAGAGGGAACCAGGTATATTCCAAGAACTCTTAGAATTGTTACAGTTTTCCAAAACTGAGAAGGTCCCTAGGGTGCTTCTCTTTCAGTGCAAAAACAGAAAATCCTGTAAAAACAATGAGTTGGAATCCTACCTTAGAAAGATACTCTGACCAGAGTGGATGAAGAATGGACAAAGTGGTGGGAGATGAGTTTACTGAGGCAGGCAGGTGCTGAATACTGTGGAACCTTCAGAATCAGGTAAAGAGACTGTACATTTTAGTGTGACAGAAGTTTGGAGGGATATAATCAGGAACCATGTGATCTATTTGTTTTATTGAAATAAGTAGGCATCCTTCATATTGGAAAGGCTTACTGATCTGAAGGTCAGGGTCAGATAATTCTGGGCAGAAAATTCACCAGCCCTCAACAATATATTTAGAAATATTTTTTGTAAGTGCTTTACCACTTCTCTGTTAAGAATCTGGAGCAAACAGCCTTCACATAGAGGAAAATGTTGAAATAAACTACCGTGGGTTTGTTGACATAGGTAAGAGATCTCAGATTCTGGCCATGACCTATTCATCACCTCTCAGTCATTCTGAACTGAATGTGATCACTAATGTGATTTGAGACCAAGAGCTCTTTATTCAGCAGAAATACTGAAGGTTTGTCCCACTACAGTTTCTGTGTTAATGTCTCTGTTTTTATAGTGTATTTCCTGGAAAGTCTCAAAGCAATTTCTCTAAGCTATGAAAATGTCCTTATATTTTGGCCCAAATGGAGAAATATATCCCTTCATGGCTAGAATGACTACCTCTAAATGGACTGC